GGAGGCGGCTCTGCTCCGCCCCTCGCTGCCTCCTGGGCAGTAGCCCTCAAGTAAATTTTGGCTACTGACTTAAAAAGACACCCACCATTTTATCGTTTCTCTTACCATTTTTAAGTGCAACTTTCACATAATTTGCGATTTTTTTCTTAGTTCTGCTTCCTGAGTCGCAGGCCGCCACCAGTAGGTTGTGCACCATCACTGGTGACATGTTTGGGATTAGAAAGCTGTTGCTGGGAAAGAAGATCATGGACCAAGGAAGGTCTCTGAGCAGCCTTTCCCAGTGCATGAAGATGGAATAGTCTTGTGTGGTTTTTTTTAAACAAATGTGGTTTGTCTCTGAATAGCTGGGTGCACTCCCACAAGCTGAAAAATGCTTGAGTAAATTCTTTCTCCACCTTTCAGAGCCAGTCTCCAAAATTCATCATGGATTACCTCTCTAAACCTGGGTTCCTCAGTGTCATCGCTGGCGTTGCCTGCGGAGTGTGCCTGGGATGGGGCATTCGCGGGAGGCTCTTAAGGCAGCCCAAAGCCGGAGTGACTGCGCCTGTGACCAGCCTGGGGAGTGAAGCTAATGTCATGGGAGAGTCCGGGGAGTTCAAGATGGTGCTGATTGTCCGCAATGATTTGAAGATGGGAAAGGGTAAAGTGGCAGCACAGTGCTCCCATGCCGCTGTTTCTGCCTATAAGCAAGTTCAAAGAAGAAATCCTGAACTCCTGAAACAGTGGGAATACTGCGGACAACCTAAAGTAGTCCTCAAAGCCCCCGATGAAGAGACTCTGATCCAGCTCCTGGCTGATGCTAAACACCTAGGACTGACTGTGAGCTTAATACAAGACGCGGGTCGTACTCAGATAGCTCCAGGCTCCCAGACAGTCCTTGGTATTGGACCGGGACCAGCTGATGTTGTAGATAGAGTTTCTGGTCACCTGAAGCTGTTTTAAACCAGGGGCCAAAGAAATCTGAATTCACTGGTATAGATCAGTACTGAAGGGATAAAACCCAAGTTTTGGGATTTTTCCATATGTTCTCTGAGTATAAATAAAGTAACCAGTTTTTGTAAAAGATGTAAATGTGCAAAGTTTAACGTCAGTGCAGTTTGTGAGTTTCTCTAGCTTCTGTATTGCATTCTGAAGTGGGAAAGAAAATACTAGGCTCAGTGGAATTGAGGAAAGTAGAGCTGGCAGAATTTTACTATCCATAAGACAGAATCCAGTATGTTTAAGACTTGCACAATTAATTAAGGATTTTGCGCTTGGTCTGGTTTACCAGATTAGAAGCATTAATAAAGTTTAAGTGAATCTGTCCCCTAAAAATGACAGGTTCCCTCCTCTCTACCTTACAGGAGGGGTTTTTGAAGATACATGTTTTTTAATTTGGAAAAGATTAGCTGCTGCAGCAGTTACATTGCTCCATAGAGCTGGGGGTAGCTGTAGCCAACTTCCTGCTGCACAAACAGTTCCTAACAGAGCGACTGATGCAATAGCTTGTAACTGGTATGAGACTGACCAAGTTAAACAGGCTTTGCAGCCCCAACCTTAAGAGCCAGTAAACAGTTGTGGGGAGCAGCTGTAATCCATGCTGCTGTGCAGCGGTGTCTGCATAGCTATTGCACTTGCAGGAATCTGCAAACAGGTCAGCATTCCCAGTTTAGCCAAGGTACAGGGAGCCACCCAACATATAAACAGGTTGTCATACAGGGACTAACTTAAATCCCATTTTACTTGGGATTAACAGGTTTGGGGTTTAAGGAAGCACTATTACAGGAGTTACTGGACAGTCAGATCCATGGCTGGTATAAATTCTACCTGTGCAGCTCCACTGTAGCTCTAAGACTGTAAAAGGCCAGTTCCCTGCACTTCTCATGAGGTCAGTTTTACAACAAAGCTGTTTTGCAAGAACTGTGCTGTTGAGCGCATTTCTTCTGCAGCTTCTCAGCAGTGTCTTCCAGCTGAGAATGTGAGGCAAGTTGTAAGGGAGAAACGCTTCTGTCTCAGTCAAATTTACAGACCCAGAGGGAATGATGGGGGGGGTTTGAAATGCAAGCAATAGCAAGTATAAACACAGAGAATGGAGAAGTTTTTATACCACACCTCTTATTTAGGCATAATACTTTCCCAAGAACAACACTAGTCACTGCAGACTTTTGCTCCACCCCACTCTTGAACAAAGACAGTATACAGCCGGTGGCAGGTTAAACCCCCACTAAGTGCACACACCCCCCATTACACACGCAACCACTGCAGTGCTTGGCTGACAGGATCACACACCGCAAGCTTGGAGGCACAGGAGGAAGCAGGAAGGGGGTTCAGCCTCAGAGCTGGAACCTGACACTGGGACAGCTCCTGGTTAAGCGACAGAAGCTTCTACAGCTATTGCAAATATGGTCAGTGCTGCAATACTCATTACACTCAAACATGACAGTATTCATAGAGAAACATTTAAGTCAATTTTATTTGAAGCTAAATATATTTAAGGCAACTTACATACCTAGAACATGATCTCAATTTAACTGACACACCCTACTACAATCCTAATGTATCATCTGGTCAAATATGCTGCAGTTGACCACAATGCAGCCAACTATTGAAAAGTGCTATTTTCTTCTCTCTGGCATAATCTTTCTACAGAAAAAGCATTACGTATTTTCTTGTATTGCCCCCTCAGTGCAAGACACCACTAATGGTCTCCATTGCTGCTCTCCTAATGGCCCCCATACCCTTGAATGTACACACGTGCATGCCCCACACTACTAGCACTGTAATACTCGGTTCAAGTTCAAAGGTCCTTTTTGAAGACAGTAAAGTGAAGCTACCACTATGCAGCATGTCCACAGTCCAGTAATTTATTTTTAAATTGAGTCATTTCAAATTGCACAAACAAAACTGAACAGCAATATGCTTGAATTCTCTCTTCTGTACACTCAAAACAGTGATCTAAAACACCACAATATCCAACATACACAAACCTCAGGGCAGGGTTAGTAAATACACAGATTGGAATCATGGTGCTCTGTTCCTGAATGGAATGTCCCACAAAAGCACAGGATACAGCACAACATAAGGTCATCTGTTACATATGGAGTGAGCAAAAAGACACTAGCATTTTCTATATGCATAACTGGAAAAACCTGCATAGGTTAAGGGAAAAAAAACCCAAACTTTTACTCATTTTAAGTCAGGCAAGGTTGTCTGTACGCATTTTAAATTCTTTTAGAGCTATGCAATCCAACCAGGGTAGGATATGCTGATTAGTGTTGTCTCTTGTCAGCAGTCTTGCAAGGTCAAATACAAGTATCTTTGCTTTAGCTTTCTCCGAATATACAGTGAGACTTAAATGCATTTAGAATAGACAGTACATACTGTAAGCTGCTCACATACAATGAACTTAAGATTCAATATTAGAGTTTAACACTATAGAGTGCAAATCAGAATCTTCACAATAGACTTAATGGTAATAAGCAGTCTTGCAAAAGCCCACTTGAACAAAGTTGTTTAAACTATTCCCCTTTTAAAGTAAAGTCTAAATGACATGGAATGTGAAAAAGATTTAACATAAGTGATTCAAATAGTTTGCGCTAGAAAAAACAGTCCTTCATGAAATAAAGGTTACAAGAACACGAGGCAGAACTCTTGCTTTTCCCTGTTATGAGTTAAAGCGGGGAGGGACGGTGGAGTTTTCAGTAAGAAAATATGCTAGCTCCAAACTGACTTGTGCTGCATCTTACATGCTGTACCCAAAGCCAGGCTGCGGTTGCCCATATGGAGGTGCAGTATAGCCATAGCCAAAAGGTGCTTGTGGAGGAACTGCGACACTGGGTCCTGCTGTCAACATAAGTTGTGGCTGACCTGGAAGACAGAAGTTTCATCTTTATTCCTCTGGACTGAGAGTTCAGTCGGCAGAATTCCTGCTACTTCCCTGGAGACATTGGTATGTTTAACAATAACTCCCTAGCATAAGCTAGGACAATCTTAAATCCTGCAGTCCATATCCAACCTTAGAAGCAGCATTGGAGTTGTACTTCATCTAGTATTTTGGAACGCATTCTCTTAAGACTTGATTTCACAAGAAGAATATTCCCATTTCCAAGGACTTCCTTGGCAAAAAAACACATCTAGAGAACTATTGATTTAAGAGCAAAATGTGTTACTAACAACACATGAACTAAAGCATTACCATAAACAATAGGTTGCGTTTCTGTAGCTTGCTCCTCTTCCTTTCTCAAAGACTCTGATGCATCCAGTTTATCCACCTGTAATTGAGACCAACAATTACAAAAACTCCTCTAGAAGAGGTACTTATTCATGGCAGAGAAGTGGAAAAGCCTTAGTGGGATGTTAACACCCATCAAGAAAAGGAGACCATTTACAAGTTAAGATCAATTCAAGTAGCAATGTTGGTACTGGTGCAGTCAAGACTGTCAGTTTCCTGAAAAAAACCCTAATTGAGGGATTTGTGGAACTTCTTTGAAAGCTCACTCCAGGCTGAAGATTTGTATGAAAGGTCCCGTACTGGACTAGAGCTATCTTCACATCAGTGAGCTCAGTCAGCCAGTGTTGCTCCAACTGCTTCAAACCAACAGCCTTAGAACACAAACTCAGATTTTTAGCACAATGTCAGTTGGAGACCTTTGGTGTTGGAGCAATTGCTAAGATAATGCCCAGACCTGGAGACATTTCCCTGAATATAACATTGAAGCAAAGTAATCTGAAGTTAGTGTTTGTATACGGCAGACTGCAATAGCATCCGACATGTCACTTGAGCCTCAAGATTTCACTTCTCAAACCCATTCACTCATGCAATTTGAGTTCAAATGCAGAGAATGCATGTGTATAAGACTTGGTTTTTTCCAGTCTAGAACTGTGTGGCAGTCAGCCTAAACCCACAAATACTCAACTTGTTCAAGCTTAATACACAGTAACAAGACAAGACTAGCCAGCTTCACTCTGCTGCACAGCAAGTACAATTGTGCTGTTGGCCCACCCCTACAGAAAGGCAAGGGAAGAAACTTGTTCTGTAGTGAAATATTGCTTGTTACTAAAACAGATCCAAGGAAACTCAGCATTACTACAGTCTAAGGCAGGCCCTGAAACTAAAACAAAAAAAATTAGGTACCGATATTTTTACCTGGGAGATAATATTTAGAATAAAGTCAGATACAATCATGCCAATTACTTTTTAAGACAGTAAGACAACTCACAAACCAGATTAGTCTTTCATTTCATTTGTGTCCTTAATAAACAAGTTTAAAGACAGGCTTCCTGTCCTTACACAGGGTCAGCATTACTTACTCAGCTACACCAACATCGATGAGTTAAAACAGTTTTCAGCTTAACTGTGCTACATTAGCAAATATTTGCAGGCAGCTCTAACAGCTTCCTTCCGCTTAGTTGTGAATTACAACATGTGTTCCATAAACCTGTTAATTTGTAACCTCAATTAGAGGCATAAATCCAGGACATGGCATAAGTCCTGAGCTTTACAAGTTCATTCATTGACTGGGCTTTCATGACAAGCCTTTTTGTTGCCTCACACCAGTATCTGGCTTGCTGCTCTCAAAGTGCACAGGAGTGTATGCCAATGCTTCAAGACTCATTTCAAGACACCGTGCTGAGAACTGCACTGTTTTTAACTCAAATAGCAACACACTGAACACAGAAGCACAAGTTTAGAGATGCAAATCCAAGGAGAATGTGCAGAGTTTGCTACTAAGCAGAGGCACTTGGCTTACACACACTTGGAAAGCCTCCAGCCCAGGACATCTAACACATTTTTGACCTGGTTTTGACACCTCCTCTCAAGAGCTAAACATATATTTACAGTAATAACTGCAAGTTTGAAACCAGCCTGCAGGACAGTTCTTACACCACTTGCTTGAGCATCACCAGGTTCAGTACCCTACACACTTGTAGCAAGATTGTTTTAAAGGCTTTTCCACAGGAAC